AACCACCCAAATTGCTTGAAATTCCTCAAAACCCCTCAAACCCTCCAAAAAAACCCCAAATCCCCTCAAAACTCCTCCAAATCCCCTCAAATCGCCCTAAAATTCCCTCAAAAAACCCAAAATGCTCTGAAAAAACCAAAAATCCTCGCAAAACTCCCCCAAATCCTCCCAAATGACTCCCAAAATTCCCTCACCGCCCCCAAACTCCCCAAATTCCTCAAAACCCTCCCAAATCGCTTGAAATTCCCTCAAATCCCCAAATCTCCCAAAAAAACCCAAATCCCCTCACAACTCCCCCAAAAATCCCAAAATCCCCGAAATCCCCTCAAAACTCCCCCAAAATCCCGCCAAATCACCCCGAAATTCCTTCAAAACCCCTCAAATCCTCCCAAAAAAACCCCAAATCCCCCAAAATTTCCCCACAATCCCCTCAAATCGCCCTTCAAATTCCTCAAATCCCCAGAACCCCCAAATCCTCCCAAATCCCCTCAAAACTCCCCCAAAATCCCCAAAATTGCCCCGAAATTGCCCGAAATCCCCTCAAACGCCCAAAATTCCCCCAAATGACCCCAAAATTCCCTCAAATCCCCAAAATTCCCTCAAATCCCCAGAAATCCCCCATTTTCCCCAAAATCCCCCAAAGAGACCCCAACGACCCCCAGGACCCAAAATCCCCCAAAATGACTCAAATACCCCAAAGTGACCCCCAAATCCCCCCAAAATCCACCCAAATCTCCCCAAAATCCCCCTTAAATCCCCTCAAATCCCCCTCTTTTCCCCCAAATCCCCCAAAGTGACCCCAAATCTCCTCAACCCCCCAAATCATCCCAAATCCCCTCAAAATCCCCAAAATCCCCTTACCCCAAAATCCCCCAAAGTGAACCCAAATCCCCCAAAAGTGACCCCAAATCCCCCAAATCCCCTCAAATCCCCTTTTTCCCCAAAATCCCCCAAAGTGACCCCAAATCCCCAAAGTGACCCCAAACCCCCAAATTCCCCCAAATCCCCCTTTTTTCCCCAAAATCCCCCAAAGTGACCCCAAACGACCCCCAGGATCCCAAAATTCCCCCAAGATGACCCCAAATCAACCCAAATGACCCAAAATCCCCAAAATCCCCTCAAACCCCCAAATAACCCCCAAACCCCCAAAATCTCCCCAAATCCCCCAAATCCCCCTTTTCCCCCAAATCCCCCAAAGTGACCCCAAATAACCCCAAATGACCCCAAATTCCCCCAAATCTCCCCAAATCCCCCTTTTCCCCAAATCCCCCAAAGTGACCCCAAATCCCCCAAAATGCCCCAAAATCCCCCTTTTTCCCCAAAATCCCCCAAAGTGACCCCAACGACCCCCAGGACCCAAATCCCCCAAAATGACCCCAAATCCCCCAAATCTCAGTGACCCCAAAATCCCCCAAATCCCCCTTTTTCCCCAAATCCTCCCAAAGTGACCCCAATAACCCCAAAGTGACCCCAAATCCCCCTTTTCTTCAAAATCCCCCAAAGTGACCCCAAAAATCCCCAAAGTGACCCCAAATGACCCCCAGGACCCAAAATCCCCCAAGATGACCCCAAATGACCCCCAAATCCCCCAAATCTCCCCAAATCCCCCTTTTTCCCCAAATCCCCCAAAGTGACCCCAAATCCCCTCAAAACCGTCCCTCAAATCCCCCTTTTTCCCCAAAAATCCCCCAAAGTGACCCCAAAGACCCAAAATCCCTCTCAAATCCCCCAAATCCCCCTTTTCCCCCAAATTCCCCCAAAGTGCAACCAAATAACCCCAAGTGACCCCCAAACCCCCAAAATCCCCCAAATCTCCCCAAAGTGACCTCAAACCCCTTTTTCACCAAAATCCCCCTCAAATCCCCCAAATCCCCCTTTTCCCCCAAAATCCCCCAAAGTGACCCCAAAAAGCCCTCCAACCCCCAAAAATGACCTCAAGCGACCCCTCAGATCCCTCCCCACCCCAAAAAATCAACAAAGAGGCTAAAAACGACCCCAAAAAATTTATTGAAGGGGAGGGCCAACAGGGGTCCAAGGTCAAGTGGGGGAGTAAGAAAAGAAGGTCAAAGGTCAAGCAGGATGGGACAAAATTGGGGGGGAGGGGAAGAGAAATTTGGGGGAGGTCAAAGGTCGGGATGGACCCAAAGTTGACCTTTGGGCCACCATGAGGTCATTTTGGGTGGCCAGAGGAGGTCATGGTGGGTCAGGGGTCATCAGGGGAGGTCAGGGGTCATCAGGGGAGGTCAGGGGTCATCAGGGAGGAGATCAGAAGGTCAAGGGTTGGTCAAGGTCAACCAGGAAAGGTCAAAAATTTGGGGCGGTCAAAAGTTGGGATGGACCCAAAATTGACCTTTGGGCCACCATGAGGTCATTCTGGGTGGCCAGGGGAGGTCAGGGGAGGTCAGGGGTCATCAGGAGAGGTCAAGGGTCATCAGGGGAGGGTCAGGGTCATCAGGGGAAGGTCAGGGGTCATCAGGGGAGGGTCAGGGGTCATCAGGGGAAGGTCAGAGGTCATCAGGGGAGGATCAGAGGTCAAGGGTTGGTCAAAGGTCAACCAGGAAAGGTCAAAAATTTGGGGGGGTCAAAGGTTGGGATGGACCCAAAGTTGACCTTGGCCAACCATGGCTGACCTTTGGGTCACCACCAGGTGACTCTGGGTGGCCAGGAGAGGTCAGAGGTCATCAAGAGAGGGTCAAGGATCAAGAACTCAACCATGAAAGGTCAAAAAATGGAGCAAATTTCGGGAGCTTCAAAACTGGGATGACCCAAAGTTGACCTCGACCAACCGTGGTTGACCTTGGGCCACCACCAGGTGACTCTGGGTGGCCAGGGGAGGTCAGGGGTCACCAGGGGAGGGTCAGGGGTCAAGATCTCAACCAAGAAAGGTCAAAAAACAAGGAGAAAATTTGGGAGCTTCAAGACTGGGATGACCCAAAGTTGACCTTGGCCAACCGTGGTTGACCTTGGACCACCACCAGGTGACTCTGGGTGGCCAGGAGAGGTCGGGGGTCAGCAGGGGAGGGTCCCTTCAGCTGATGTAGACCCGGTGGAAGTCGTGGGCGCCGAAGGCGGCGTTGCACTTGGGGCACTTGCGCTGGCGGGTGTCGTAGCGGCTCTTGACGCACTCGAAGCAGAAGACGTGGAAGCACTTGGTGAGCACCGCGTCCTTCTTGCGAGCGTTGCAGCAGGGGCACGTCAGGCGGGCCTGGAGGGGGCAATGGGGGGGTCCCAAGGGTGGTTCAAAGAGGTGGGAGGTCAATTGAGATCAACCAAAGTCAACTGAGGTCAACCGAGGTCTAAGAACTCATCCAAGGTCAACTGAGGTCAACCAAGCTCAACTGAGGTCAACTGAGGTCAACCAAAGTCAACTGAGATCAACCAAGGTCAACTGAGGTCAACCAAGGTCCTTCTTGCGAGCGTTGCAGCAGGGGCACGTCAGGCGGGCCTGGAGGGGGCAATGGGGGGGTCCCAAGGGTGGTTCAAAGAGGTGGGAGGTCAATTGAGATCAACCAAAGTCAACTGAGGTCAACCGAGGTCTAAGAACTCATCCAAGGTCAACTGAGGTCAACCAAGCTCAACTGAGGTCAACTGAGGTCAACCAAAGTCAACTGAGATCAACCAAGGTCAACTGAGGTCAACCAAGGTCCTTCTTGCGAGCGTTGCAGCAGGGGCACGTCAGGCGGGCCTGAGGGGGGGCAATGGGGGGGTTCCAAGAGGTGGGAGGTCAACTGAGGTCAAATGAGGTCAACCAAAGTCAACTGAGCTCAACCACGGTCAACTGAGAACAGCTGAGCTCAACCGAGGTAAACTGAGATCAACTGAGGTCAACCAAGGTCAACCAAAGTCAACTGAGATCAACCAAAGTCAACTGAGGTCAGCTGAGGTCAACCAAGGTCAACTGAGGTCAACCAAGGTCAACGGAGGTCTAAGAACTCATCCAAGGTCAATTGAGGTCAACTGAGATCAACCAAGGTCAACTAAGATCAACCCAAGGTCTAAGAACTCATCCAAGGCCAACTGAGGTCAACTGAGGTCAACCAAAGTCAACTGAGGTCAACCAAACTCAACTGAGGTCAACCAAAGTCAACTGAGATCAACTGAGGTCAATCAAACTCAACTGAGGTCAACCAAAGTCAACTGAGGTCAATCAAGGTCAACTGAGCTCAACCAAAGTCAACTAAGCTCAACTGAGGTCAACCAAAGTCAACTGAGGTCAACCAAGGTCAACAGAGGTCAACCAAGGTCAACAGAGGTCAACTGAGGTCAACCAAGGTCTAAGAACTCAGTCAAGGTCAACTGAGGTCAATCAAGGTTAACTGAGCTCAGCCAAAGTCAACTGAGGTCAACCAAAGTCAACTGAGATCAACCAAAGTCAACTGAAGTCAACCAAGGTCAACTGAGGCCAACCAAGGTCAAATGAAGTCAACCAAGGTCAACTGAGGTCAACCAAAGTCTACTGAGATCAACCAAAGTCAACTGAGGTCAACCAAAGTCAATTGAGATCAACCAAGGTCTTAGAACTCAAGCAAGGTCCTTCTTGCGAGCGTTGCAGCAGGGGCACGTCAGGCGGGCCTGGAGGGGGACAATGGGGGGGTTCCAAGGGTGGTTCAAAGAGGTGGGAGGTCAATTGAGGTCAACTGAGTTCCTAGAACTCAGCCAAGGTCAACTGAGATCAACTGAGATCAACTGAGCTCAACCAAAGTCAACTGAAGTTAATCAAGGTCAACTGAGCTCAGCCAAAGGCAACTGAGGTCAATTGAGATCAACCAAAGTCAACTGAGGTCAACCAAAGTCAACTGAGGTCAACTGAGGTCAACCAAGGTCTAAGAACTCAACCAAAGTCAACTGAGGTCAACTGAGGTCAACTGAGGTCAACCAAGGTCAACTGAGATCAACTCAGGTCAACCAAGGTCAACTGAGATCAACTGAGGTCAACCAATGTCTTAGAACTCAAGCAAGGTCCTTCTTGCGAGCGTTGCAGCAGGGGCACGTCAGGCGGGCCTGGAGGGGGGACAATGGGGGGGTCCCAAGGGTGGTTCAAAGAGGTGGGAGGTCAATTGAGGTCAACTGGGGTCAACCAAAGTCAACTGAAGTCAACCAAAGTCAACTGAGCTCAACTGAGGTCTAAGAACTCATCCAAGGTCAACTGAGATCAATCCAAGGTCTAAGAACTCAGTCAAGGTCAACTGAAGTTAACTGAAGTCAACCAAGGTCAACCAAAGTCAACTGAGGTCAAGCAAAGTCAACTGAGGTCAAGCAAAGTCAACTGAGCTCAACTGAGGTCAACTGAGATCAACCAAGGTCTTAGAACTCAAGCAAGGTCCTTCTTGCGAGCGTTGCAGCAGGGGCACGTCAGGCGGGCCTGGAGGGGGGCAATGGGGGGGTCCCAAGGGTGGTTCAAAGAGGTGGGAGGTCAATTGAGGTCAACTGAGGTCAACCAAAGTCAACTGAAGTCAAGCCAAAGTCAACTGAGGTCAACTGAGGTCAACCAAAGTCAACTGAGGTCAACTGAGATCAACCAAAGTCAACTGAAGTCAACCAAGGTCAACTGAGGCCAAACAAGGTCAACTGAAGTCAACCAAGGTCAACTGAGGTCAACCAAGGTCAACTGAGGTCAACAAGGTCATGAGAGCTGGCAAGGTCAACTGAGGTCAACCGAAGTCAACTGAGGTCAACCAAAGTCAACTGAGGTCAACTGAGGTCAACTGAGGTCAACCAAAGTCAACTGAGCTCAACTGAGGTCAACTAAAGTCAACTGAGATCAACTGAAGTCAACTGAGCTCAGCTAAGATCAGCAAAGTCAACTGAAGTCAGTCAAGCTCAGCTAGAGTCAACTGAGGTCAACCAAAGTCAACTGAACTCAAGCAAGGTCCTTCTTGCGGCGTTGCAGCAGGGAGCACGTCAGGCGGGCCTGGAGGGGGCAATGGGGGGTCCAAGGGTGGTTCAAAGAGGTGAGAGGTCAACTGAGGTCTAACGAACTCATGCCAAGGTCAACTGAAGTCAACTGAAGATCAACTGAGGTCAACTCAAAGTCAACTGAGGTCAATCCAAGGTCTAAGAACTCAGTCAAGGTCAACTGAAGTTAACTGAGGTCCCAGAGTCAACCAAGAAGTCAACTGAGGTCAACCAAAGTCAACTGAGGTCAAGCAAAGTCAACTGAGCTCAACTGAGGTCAACTGAGATCAACCAAGGTCTTAGAACTCAAGCAAGGTCCTTCTTGCGAGCGTTGCAGCAGGGGCACGTCAGGCGGGCCTGGAGGGAGGGTCAATGGGGGTTCCAAGGGTGGTTCAAAGAGGTGGGAGGTCAACTGAGGTTAACTGGGGTCAACCAAAGTCAACTGAGGTCAAGCAAAGTCAACTGAGGTCAACTGAGATCAACCAAAGTCAACTGAGGTCAACCAAAGTCAACTGAACTCAACTGAGGTCAACTGAGATCAACCAAAGTCAACTGAAGTCAACCAAGGTCAACTGAGGCCAAACAAGGTCAACTGAAGTCAACCAAGGTCAACTGAGGTCAACCAAAGTCAACTGAGGTCAACAAGGGTCATAGAGCTGAGCCAAGGTCAACTGAGGTCAACCGAGGTCAACTGAGGTCAACCAAAGTCAACTGAGGTCAACTGAGGTCAACTGAGGTCAACCAAAGTCAACTGAGCTCAACTGAGATCAACTAAAGTCAACTGAGATCAACTGAAGTCAACTGAGCTCAACTAAGATCAACCAAAGTCCACTGAAGTCAGTCAAGCTCAACTGAGGTCAACTGAGGTCAACCAAAGTCAACTGAACTCAAGCAAGGTCCTTCTTGCGCGCGTTGCAGCAGGGGCACGTCAGGCGGGCCTGGAGGGGGACAATGGGGGGTTCCAAGGGTGGTTCAAAGAGGTGAGAGGTCAACCGAGGTCTAAGAACTCATGCAAGGTCAACTGAAGTCAACCAAGATCAACTGAGGTCAACCAAAGTCAACTGAGGTCAACCGGGGTCTAAGAACTCATCCAAGGTCAATTAAGGTCAACTGAGGTCAACCAAGGTCTAAGAACTCATCCAAGGTCAATTAAGGTCAACTGAGGTCAACCAAGGTCTAAGAACTCATCCAAGGTCAACTGAGATCAACCAAGGTCAACTGAGATCAACCAGGGTCAACTGAGGTCAACCAAGGTCAATCAAAGTCAACTGAAGTCAACCAAAGTCAACTGAGGTCAACCAAAGTCAACTGAGGTCAACCAAAGTCAACTGAGCTCAACTGAGGTCAACCAAAGTCAACTGAAGGCAATCAAGCTCAACTGAGGTCAACTGAGATCAACCAAAGTCAACTGAACTCAACCAAGGTCCTTTTTGCGAGCGTTGCAGCAGGGGCACGTCAGGCGGGCCTGGAGGGGGGACAATGGGGGGGTCCCAAGGGTGGTTCAAAGAGGTGGGAGGTCAATTGAGGTCAACTGAGATCAACTGAGTTCCTAGAACTCAGCCAAGGTCAACTGAGATCAACTGAGCTCAACCAAACTCAACTGAAGTCAATCAAGGTCAACTGAGCTCAGCCAAAGGCAACTGAAGTCAATTGAGGTCAACCAAAGTCAACTGAGGTCAACCAAAGTCAACTGAGGTCAACTGAGGTCAACCAAGGTCTAAGAACTCAATCAAGGTCAACTGAGATCAACTGAGGTCAACCAAGGTCAACCAAACTCAACCGAGGTCAACCAAAGTCAACTGAGATGAACTGATGTCAACCAAGGTCAAGTGAGGTCAACTGAGGTCAACCAAAGTCAACTGAGGTCAACTGAGGTCAACCAAGGTCTAAGAACTCAGTCAAGGTCAACTGAGGTCAACTGAAGTCAACCAAGGTCAACCAAGGTCAACCAAAGTCAACTGAGATCAACTGAGGTCAACCAAAGTCAACTGAGGTCAACCAAAGTCAACTGAGGTCAACCAAAGTCAACTGAGATCAACCAAAGTCAACTGAGATCAACCAAGGTCAAATGAGGTCAACCAAGGTCTAAGAACTCAATCAAGATCAACTGAGATCAATTGAGCTCAACCAAGGTCATAGAACCCAACCAAGCTCAACTAAAAGCCTTCTCACCCACCCAAGCCCTTCAAACCCACCTCAGGTCTCCCACCCCACCCCAAGGTCCCCCCTGGTTGACCTGGAAGCCCCTCCCCCCTCCCCTCCCCCAAACCAAGGTCAACTGAGGTCAACTCAGGTCAACCAAAGTCAGCTGAGATCAAGTAAGGTCAACTAAGGTCAACTGAGGTCAACCAAGGTCAACTGAAAGTCTTTGGAGGTCAATCAAGGCCTTCCAAACCCAACCAAGGTCAACCAAGACCTTCCAAACCCAACCAAGGTCAACTGAAGGTCTTTGGAGATCAACCAAGGTTTCCAACCCACCCAAGCTCTTCCAAACTCAACCAAGGTCAACTGAGGTCAACCAGGACCTTCCAAACCCAACCAAGACCTTCCAAACCCAACCAAGCCCTTCCAAACCCAACCAAGCCCTTCCAAACCCAACCAAGACCTTCCAAACCCAACCAAGACCTTCCAAACCCAACCAAGGTCAACCAAGCTCTTCCAAACCCAACCAAGGTCAACCAAGGTCAACCAAGACCTTCCAAACCCAACCAAGCCCTTCCAAACCCAACCAACACCTTCCCACCCTACCCAAGGCCTCCCAATCCACCCAAAGTCTTCCAAACCCACCCAAGGTCAACCAAGACCTTCCAAACCCAACCAAGACCTTCCAAACCCTTTCAAACCCCACCAAGACCTTCCAACCCAACCAAGACCTTCCAAACCCAACCAAGACCTTCCAAACCCAACCAAGGTCAACCAAGACCTTCCAACCCACCCAAGATCTTCCAAACCCACCTAAGGTCTTCTAACCCAACCAAGCCCTTTCAAACCCACCTCAGGTCTCCCCCCCCACCCCAAGGTCCCCCCTGGTTGACCTGGAAGCCCCTCCCCCTCCCCTCCCCCAAGCCCACCCGGTACTCCTTGATCTCCTCCTGCAGGATCTGATCGGCGTCGGCGTAAACTTCAACCTTGCGCTGCTTCTCCAGCTTCCGGCGCAGCCTCGACAGCTCCTCCTGGGGGGGAGGGGACAGGGACACCCATGGGACCTCAGGGACACCCATGGGACCCCAGGGACACCCAGGGGACCTCAGGGACACCCAGGGGACCCTAGAGACACCCATGGGACCTCAGGGACACCCATGGGACCTCAGGGACACCCAGGGGACCTCAGGGACACCCAGGGGACCCTATAGACACCCATGGGACCTCAGGGACACCCATGGGACCTCAGGGACACCCATGGGACCCTATGGACACCCATGGGACCCTATAGATCCCTAGGGACACCCATGGGACCCTATGGACACCCATGGGACCCTATAGATCCCTAGGGACACCCATGGGACCTCAGGGACACCCAGGGGACCCTACAGACACCCAGGGTACCCCAGGGACACCCATGGGACCCTATGGACACCCATGGGACCCTATGGATCCCTATGGACACCCATGGGACCCTATAGATCCCTATGGACACCCATGGGACCCTATAGATCCCTATGGACACCCATGGGACCCTAGAGATCCCTATGGACACCCATGGGACCCTATGGACACCCATGGGACCCTAGAGATCCCTATGGACACCCATGGGACCCTATAGATCCCTATGGACACCCATGGGACCCTATGGACACCCATGGGACCCTATAGACCCCTAGGGACACCCATGGGACCCTATAGATCCCTATGGACACCCATGGGACCCTATGGACACCCATGGGACCCTATAGACCCCTATGGACACCCATGGGACCCTATGGACACCCATGGGACCCTATGGACACCCATGGGACCCTATGGACACCCATGGGACCCTATAGATCCCTATGGACACCCATGGGACCCTATAGATCCCTTTGGACACCCATGGGACCCCAGGGACACCCAGGGGACCTCAGGGACACCCATGGGACCTCAGGGACACCCATGGGACCCTATGGACACCCATGGGACCCTATGGACAGCCATGGGAGCCTAGAGATCCCTATGGACACCCATGGGACCCTATGGACACCCATGGGACCCTATGGACACCCATGGGACCCTATAGATCCCTATGGACACCCATGGGACCCTATGGACACCCATGGGACCCTATAGATCCCTATGGACACCCATGGGACCCTAGAGATCCCTATGGACACCCATGGGACCCTATGGACACCCAGGGGACCCTATGGACACCCATGGGACCCTAGAGATCCCTAGGGACACCCATGGGACCCTGGAGACCCCCCAAATCCCCAAAAAATTGTCCCAAAATTTCCCAAAAACCCCCAAAAAATCCCAAATTTACCCCAAATTTTGTTACCTGAACCCTCTTAAGGTTGAGTTGCTCCTTGGTCTTGGTCTCTTAATTCTTTAAATTTCCACCAAACCCCTTCCTAAAAACCCCCCCAAAACCCCCAAAAATCACCCCAAAACCCCCCAAAATTGTCCCAAATCATCCCAAAATCCCAAAAAATCCTAAATTTACCCCAAAATCTCTTTACCTGAGCCCTCTTGAGGCTGAGCTGCTCCTTGGCCTTGACCTTTTAGCTCTTCAAACTTCCCCCAAACCCCTCCAAAATCCTCAAAAATCACCCCCAAAACCCCCCAAAATTGTCCCAAATGATCCCAAAATCGTCCCAAATCATCCCAAAACCCCAAAAAATCCCAAATTTACCCCAAATTTCCTCACCTGAGCCCTCTTGAGGCTGAGTTGTTCCTTGTCCTTGGCTGCTCTGTTCTCAGCCGCGCACACCTGCAGCTCCCCAAACCCCCTCAAACCCCCCCAAATCCCCCCAAATCCCCCCCAAAAAATCCCAAAATCCCAAAAAACCATGAATTTACCCCAAAATCTCTTTACCTGAGCCCTCTTGAGGCTGAGCTGTTCCTTGTCCTTGGCCGCTCTGTTCTCGGCCGCGCACACCTGCAGCTCCCGCAGCCGGCCCTGCACGTGCTCGCCCTGGGCACGGAGATCCTCGGCCAGCTGGGCCGCCTCGACTGCCTGCAATGACACACCTGGGCACACCTGGGCACACCTGGGCACACCAAACACACACCTGGGCACACCTGGGGGCACCAAACACACACCTGGGGACACCAAACACACACCTGGGGACACCTGGGCACACCTGGGCACACCAAACACACACCTGGGCACACCTGGGGGCACCTGGGCACACCTGGGCACACCTGGGGGCATCTACAGACACCTGGGGGCACCAAACACACACCTGGGCACACCTGGGCACACCTGGGGGCACCAAACACACACCTGGGGGCACCTGAGATACACCTGAGATACCTGGGACGCACCAAACACACACCTGGGGGCACCAAACACCTGGGGGCACCTGGGGGCATTTACACACACCTGGGGGCACCTGAGATACACCTGAGATACCTGGGACACACCAAACACACACCTGGGGGCACCAAACACACACCTGGGCACACCTGGGGGCACCAAACACACACCTGGGCACACCAAACACACACCTGGGGGCACCAAACACACACCTGGGGGCACCAAACACACACCTGGGGGCACCAAACACACACCTGGGCACACCAAACACACACCTGGGGGCACCAAACACACACCTGGGCACACCAAACACACACCTGGGGGCACCAAACACACACCTGGGGGCACCAAACACACACCTGGGCACACCAAACACACACCTGGGGGCACCTGGGGGCACCAAACACACACCTGGGCACACCAAACACACACCTGGGGGCACCTGGGGGCACCAAACACACACCTGGGCACACCAAACACACACCTGGGGGCACCAAACACACACCTGGGGGCACCAAACACACACCTGGGGACACCTGGGGGCATCAAACACACACCTGGGCACACCTGGGGGCACCTGGGGGCACCAAACACACACCTGGGGGCACCCAACACACACCTGGGGGCACCTGGGGGCATTGACACACACCTGGGCACACCTGAGGGCATTTATACACACCTGGAATCATTTACACACACCTGGGCACACCTGGGGACAGCTGGGGGCACCAAACACACACCTGGGGGCACCCAACACACACCTGGGGGCATCAAACACACACCTGGGGACACCAAACACACACCTGGGGGCACCTGGGGGCACCCAACACACACCTGGGGGCATCAAACACACACCTGGGGGCACCCAACACACACCTGGGCACACCAAACACACACCTGGGGGCACCAAACACACACCTGGGGGCACCAAACACACACCTGGGGGCACCTGGGGGCACCCAAACACACACCTGGGGCACCCAACACACACCTGGGGCACCAAACACACACCTGGGCACACCTGGGGGCACCAAACACACACCTGGGCACACCTGGGCACACCTGGAGGGGCTGCAGTGGGACAGTGCCAAGCTCAGGAAGAGGGAGGGGAGGCTCGACAGGCACCTGGCAGAGGCCCTGGAGCAGGTACCTCACCTGGCACCACACCTGGGGGCACCTGGGGGCACCCAACACACACCTGGGGGCACCCAACACACACCTGGGGGCACCAAACAAACACCAAACACACACCTGGGGGCACCTGAGATACACCTGAGATACCTGGGGAGACCAAACACACACCTGGGGGCACCTGGGGGCACCAAACACACACCTGGGGGCACCAAACACACACCTGGGGGCACCCAACACACACCTGGGGGCACCTGGGGGCACCAAACACACACCTGGGGGCATCAAACACACACCTGGGGGCATCAAACACACACCTGGGGGTTACCTGGGCACACCTGGGGCACCAAACACACACCTGGGCACACCTGGGACCCAGCCCTGCACGTGCTCGCCCTGGGCACGGAGATCCTCGGCCAGCTGGGCAGCCTCAACTGCCTGGGGGGGACAAAAACACACCTGGGCACACCTGGGCACACCTGGGGGTATTTACACACACCTGGGGGCACCCAACACACACCTGGGGGCACCAAACACACACCTGGGGGCACCCAACACACACCTGGGCACACCTGGGGGCACCAAACACACACCTGGGGGCATCAAACACACACCTGGGGGCACCAAACACACACCTGGGGGCACCAAACACACACCTGGGGGCACCCAACACACACCTGGGGACCAACCATGCCACCCTGCACCTGGTCAACAGGTACTGGGCACAGGTGAGAGACCAAACACACACCTGGGCACACCTGGAGGCACCAAACACACACCTGGGAGCACCTGGGACCCAGCCCTGCACGTGCTCGCCCTGGGCACGGAGATCCTCGGCCAGCTGGGCGGCCTCGACTGCCTGCAATGACACACCTGGGGGCACCTGGGGGCACCTGGGGGCACCTGAGATACACCTGAGATACCTAAGACACACCTGGGCACACCTGGGACCCAGCCCTGCACGTGCTCGCCCTGGGCACGGAGATCCTCCGCCAGCTGGGCGGCCTCAACTGCCTGGGGGGGTGGGAAACACACCTGGGCACACCTGGGCACACCTGGGGGCACCAAACACACACCTGGGCACACCTGGGGGCACCAAACACACACCTGGGGGCACCCAACACACACCTGGGCACACCTGGGGGCACCAAACACACACCTGGGGGCACCTGGGGGCACCCAACACACACCTGGGCACACCTGGGGGCACCAAACACACACCTGGGGGCACCAAACACACACCTGGGCACACCAAACACACACCTGGGGGCACCCAACACACACCTGGGGGCACCAAACACACACCTGGGCACACCAAACACACACCTGGGGGCACCCAACACACACCTGGGGGCACCAAACACACACCTGGGGGCACCTGGGGGCACCAACACACACCTGGGGGCACCAACACACACCTGGGCACACCTGGGGGCACCAAACACACACCTGGGCACACCAAACACACACCTGGGGGCACCTGGGGGCACCAAACACACACCTGGGGGCATCAAACACACACCTGGGGGCACCAAACACACACCTGGGCACACCTGGGGGCACCAAACACACACCTGGGCACACCTGGGGGCACCCAACACACACCTGGGCACACCTGGGGGCACCAAACACACACCTGGGCACACCTGGGGCATACCTGAGCACCCAGCCCTGCACGTGCTCGCCCTGGGCACGGAGATCCTCGGCCAACTGGGCGGCCTCAACTGCCTGCAATGACACACCTGGGCACACCTGGGGGCATTTACACACACCTGGGGACACCTGGGCACACCTGGGGGAATCTACAGACACCAAACACACACCTGGGTACACCTGGGCACACCTGGGGGCACCTGGGGGCATCAAACACACACCTGGGCACACCTGGGGGCATCAAACACACACCTGGGCACATCTGGGGGCACCTGGGACCCAGCCCTGCACGTGCTCGCCCTGGGCACGGAGATCCTCGGCCAGCTGGGCGGCCTCAACTGCCTGGGGGGGTGGGAAACACACCTGGGCACACCTGGGCACACCTGGGGGCACCTGGGGGCATCTACAGAAACCTGGGGGTACCAAACACACACCTGGGCACACCTGGGGGCACCAAACACACACCTGGGGGCACCAAACACACACCTGGGGGCACCAAACACACACCTGGGCACACCTGGGGGCACCTGAGACCCAGCCCTGCACGTGCTCGCCCTGGGCACGGAGATCCTCGGCCAACTGGGCGGCCTCAACTGCCTGCAATGACACACCTGGGCACACCTGGGGGCATTTACACACACCTGGGCACACCTGGGCACACCTGAGGGCATCTACACACACCTGGGCACACCTGGGCACACCTGAGATACCTGGGACACACCTGGGCACACCTGGGGGCACCAAACAGACACCTGGGGGCACCCAACACACACCTGGGGGCATCTGGGGGCATCTGGGTACACCTGGAGGTCGTTTTGGGGGGGGAATTGGGGGGATTTGGGGGGTGTTTGGGGGTTCTTTGGGGTTTAGGGGAAGAATTCAGGGGTTGAGACACACCTGAGCACACCTGGGGGCACCAAACACACACCTGGGCACCCCTGGGCACACCTGGGCACACCTGAGGGCATCAAACACACACCTGGGCACCCCTGGGCACACCTGGGCACACCTGAGGGCATCAAACACACACCTGGGCACCCCTGGGCACCCCTGGGCACACCTGGGCACACCAAACACACACCTGGGCACACCAAACACACACCTGGGGGCACCAAACACACACCTGGGCGCACCAAACACACACCTGGGGGCACCAAACACACACCTGGGGGCATCAAACACACACCTGGGGGCACCAAACACACACCTGGGCACACCAAACACACACCTGGGCGCACCAAACACACACCTGGGCACACCTGGGCACACCTGGGGGCACCCAACACACACCTGGGGGCACCAAACACACACCTGGGCACACCTGGGCACACCAAACACACACCTGGGGACACCGAACACACACCTGGGCACACGTGGGCACACCAAACACACACCTGGGCACACCTGGGAACACCTGGGGGCACCAAACACACACCTGGGGGCATCTACAGACACCAAACACACACCTGGGCACACCTGGGGGCACCTGGGGACACCTGAGATACATCTGAGATACCTGGGACACACCTGGGACACACCTGGGCACACCTAGGGGTACCAAACACACACCTGGTGGCACCTGGGGGGTGTTTAGGGGGGATTCTGGGGGGTTATTTTGGGGGTTTAGGGGAGATTTGGGGGGCTGGGACACACCTGGGCACACCTGGGGACACCAAACAAACACCTGAGAGCATCTACAGACACCTGGGGGCACCAAACACACACCTGGGGGCACCCAACACACACCTGGGGGCACCCAACACACACCTGGGGGCACCAAACACACACCTGGACACACCAAACACACACCTGGGGGCACCAAACACACACCTGGGGGCACCAAACACACACCTGGGGGCACCTGGGACCCAGCCCTGCACGTGCTCGCCCTGGGCACGCAGATCCTCGGCCAGCTGGGCGGCCTCAACTGCCTGGGGGGGGACAAACACACCTGGGCACACCTGGGCACACCTGAGGGCATCTACAGACACCTGGGCACACCTGGGCACACCTGGGGGTTACCTGGGGGTTACCTGGGCACACCTGGGGGCACCAAACAGACACCTGGGGGCACCCAACACACACCTGGGGGCATCTGGGGGCATCTGGGTACACCTGGAGATCGTTTTGGGGAATTGGGGGGATTTGGGGGGTGTTTGGGGGGTTCTTTGGGGGTTTAGGGGAAGAATTCAGGGGTTGAGACACACCTGAGCACACCTGGGGGCACCAAACACACACCTGGGCACCCCTGGGCACACCTGGGCACACCTGGGCACACCTGGGCACACCAAACACACACCTGGGGGCACCCAACACACACCTGGGGGCACCAAACACACACCTGGGCACACCTGGGGGCACCAAACACACACCTGGGCACACCAAACACACACCTGGGGGCACCAAACACACACCTGGGCACACCTGGGCACACCAAACACACACCTGGGGGCACCAAACACACACCTGGGGACACCAAACACACACCTGGGCACACCAAACACACACCTGGGGACACCAAACACACACCTGGGGACACCAAACACACACCTGGGGGCATCAAACACACACCTGGGGGCACCAAACACACACCTGGGGGCACCAAACACACACCTGGGGGCACCCAACACACACCTGGGGGCACCCAACACACACCTGGGGGCACCAAACACACACCTGGGGGCACCCAACACACACCTGGGGGCACCAAACACACACCTGGGGGCACCCAACACACACCTGGGGGCACCAAACACACACCTGGGCACACCTTGGGCACACCTGGGGGCACCAAACACACACCTGGGGACCAACCATGCCACCCTGCACCTGGTCAACAGGTACTGGGCACAGGTGAGACACCAAACACACACCTGGAATCATTTACACACACCTGGGGGCACCCCTGGGCACACCTGGGCACCCCTGGGCACACCTGGGGGCACCAAACACACACCTGGGGGCACCAAACACACACCTGGGGGCACACCTGGGCACACCTGGGCACCCCTGGGCACACCTGGGCACCCCTGGGCACACCTGAGGTCACACCTGGGCACCCCTGGGCACCCCGGGGGGTTACCTGGGCACCCCTGGGCACACCTGAGGTCACCCCTGGGCACACCTGGGCACACCAAACACACCCCTGGGCACACCTGGGTGGTACCTGGGGGTTACCTGGGCACACCTGGGCGCACCAAACACACATTTACACACCCCTGGGGGCACACCTGGGCACACCTGGGCACACCTGGGCACACCAATCACACCCCTGGGCACCCCTGGGCACCCCTGGGCACCCCTGGGCACACCTGGGCACACCTGGGCACCCCTGAGGTCACACCTGGGCACCCCTGGGGGCACCCCTGGGCCCCCCTCACCTTCCTCTTGTGCAGCTCCAGGGCCTGGCTCCTCAGGGCCAGCTCCTTCTCCACCGCCCCCAGCGCGCTCTGCAGGCCCCTCTCCTTCTCCTCCAGCTTCTGCACCACCTGCAACTGCGCCTCCACCTGACAATTAGCGACAATTAGCTTAATTAGCCATTAATTAGGCGTTATTAGTCATTATTTTGGCGTTATTTGGGGAAATTAGGGAGTTATTAGGGAGTTATTAGGGGTAATGAGGGGAGTTTGGAGCCCCCTCTCCTTCTCCTCCAGCTTCTGCACCACCTGCAGCTGCGCCTCCACCTGACAATTAGCGACAATTAGATTAATTAGCCCTTAATTAGCCCTTAATTAGGCGTTATTAGTCATTATTTCGGTGTTATTTGGAGAAATTAGGGAGTTATCAGAGGTAATTAGGGGAGTTTGGAGCCCCCTCTCCTCCTCCTCCAGCTTCTGCACCACCTGCAGCTGCGCCTCCACCTGACAATTAGCGACAATTAGATTAATTAGCCATTAATTAGCCCTTAATTAGGCGTTATTTTGGGGTTATTTGGAAAAATAACCGATTTATTAGTGGTTATTACAGAGTTATTAGGGGTAATTAGGTCAATTTGGCAGCTTCTGCACCACCTGCAGCTGCGCCTCTGCCTGCACAGGTCCTTAATTACCCTTAATTAGCTTAATTAGCCCTTAATTAGCCACTATTTGGCTAGTATTAGGCAGTTATTTGGAGAAATTAGGGACTTATTAGTGGTTATTAGGGAGTTATTAGGGATAATTAAGGGAGTTTGGAGCCCCTCTCCTTCTCCTCCAGCTTCTGCACCACCTGCAGCTGCGCCTCCACCTGACAATTAGCGACAATTAGGTTAATTAGCCATTAATTAGCCCTTAATTAGGCGTTATTAGGCGTTATTTCGGCGTTATTTGGAGGAATTAGGGAGTTATTAGGATGTTATTAGGGAGTTATTAGGGGTAATTAGCACACTTTGGCAGCTTCTGCACCACCTGCAGCTCCGCCTCTGCCTGCACAGGTCGTTAATTAGTCCTAATTAGCCTAATTAACCCTTAATTAGACATTATTAGTCATTAATTCAGTGTCATTTAGAGGAATTAGGGAGTTATTAGGGGTTATTAGGGAGTTATTAGGGGAGTTTGGAGTCCCCTCTCCTTCTCCTCCAGCTTCTGCACCACCTGCAGCTGCGCCTCCACCTGACAATTAGCAGCAATTAGATTAATTAGCCATTAATTAGCCCTTAATTAGGCGTTATTAGGCGTTATTTGGAAAAATTAGAGAGTTATTAGGGAGTTATTAGGGGTTATTAGGGGATTTTGGCACCTTTTGAACCACCTGCAGCTGTGCCTTCACCTGTACAGGTCGTTAATTACCCTTAATTAGCTTAATTAGCCCTTTATTAGTCATTATTTTGGCGTTATTTGGGGAAATTAGGGAGTTATTAGGGATTATTAGGCAGTTATTAGGGGTAATTAGGGGAGTTTGGAGCCCACTCTCCTTCTCCTCCAGCTTCTGCACCACCTGCAGCTGCGCCTCCACCTTCATGAGTTGGTAATTAGTCTTAATTTGCTTAATTAACCCCTAATTAGTCAGTATTTGGTTGGTACTAGGTCGTTATTTGGAGAAATTAGGGAGTTATTAGGGGTTATTAGGGAGTTATTAGGGGTAATTAGGGGAGTTTGGAGTCCCCTCTCCTTCTCCTCCAGCTTCTGCACCACCTGCAGCTGCGCCTCCACCTGACAATTAACGCTAATTGGATTAATTAGCCATTAATTAGGTGTTATTAGCCATTATTTCACCGTTATTTGCAGAAATCATGAATTTATTAGTGGTTATTAGGGAGTTATTAGGGGTTATTAGGTCACTTTGGAGCTTCTGCACCACCTGCAGCTGCGCCTCCACCTGACAATCAGCGACAATTAGTCTAATTAGCCATTAATTAGGCGTTATTAGGCGTTATTTTGGGGTTATTTGGAGAAATAACCAATTTACTAGCGCTTATTAGAGAGTTATTAGGGGTTATTAGGGGATTTTGGCACCTTTTGAACCACCTGCAGCTGCGCCTCCACCTGTACGGGTCGCTAATTACCCCTAATTAGCTTAATTAGCCCTTTATTAGTCGTTATTTCGGCGTTATTTGGAGGAATTAGGGAGTTATTAGAGAGTTATTAGGGGTTATTAGGGGTTATTAGGACACTTTGGCAGCTTCTGCACCACCTGCAGCTGCATCTCTGCCTGCACAGCTCATTAATTAGTCCTAATTAGCCTAATTAGCCCATAATTAGCTGGTATTTGGCCGGTATTAGCCTGTTATTTGGAGAAATTAGGGAGTTATTAGGGGTTATTAGGGAGTTATTAGGGGTAATTAGGGGAGTTTGGAGCCCCCTCTCCTTCTCCTCCAGCTTCTGCACCACCTGCAGCTGCGCCTCCACCTGGCAATTAGCAGCAATTAGATTAATTAGCCATTAATTAGCCGTTACTAGTCGTTATTTTGGCGTTATTTGGAGAAATTAGAGAGTTATTAGGGAGTTATTAAGGGCTTATTAGGTCACTTTGGCAGCTTCTGCACCACCTGCAGCTGCGCCTCCACCTGTACAGGTCGTTAATTACCCCTAATTAACTTAATTAGCCCTTTATTAGTCATTATTTCAGCGTTATTTGGAGAAATTAGGCAGTTATTAGACAGTTATTAGGGAGTTATTAGGGCTAATTAGGTCTCTTTAGCAGTTTCTGCACCACCTGCAGCTGCACCTCCACCTGCACAAGGGGTTAATTAGTCCTAATTAGCCTAATTAGCCCTTAATTAGCCGGTATTTGGCCGGTATTAGCCTGTTATTTGGAGAAATTAGGAAGTTATTAGTGGTTATTAGGGAGTTATTAGGGGTAATTAAGTCACTTTGGCAGCTTCTGCACCACCTGCAGCTGCGCCTCCACCTGCCAATTAATGCTAATTAGCTTAATTAGCCATTAATTAGGCGTTATTAGGCGTTATTTTGGCGTTATTTGGAAAAATTGGGGAGTTATTAGGAAGTTATTAGGGCTAATTAGGACACTACATCCTATTAAATTTCTATCACGGTCATTAATCCATCATTAATCTCTATTAAATAATTATTAATGACTACTAAGACATTATTACTTCCTATTAAGTGACTATTAATAGCTATTAATCAACCATTCATGACTATTAACACATTATTAACTCCTATTAAGTGACTATTAATAGCTATTATTCCACCACTAACTCCTATTAAATGATTATTAATAGTTAATAATCCATCATTAGTTCCTATTAATTATAAATAGTTATTAACTCATCATTAATTCCTATTACATGAGTGTTGCTATTAATCCATCATTAATTCCTACTAATTATTAATGGCTATTAACCCATCATTAATTCCTATTAAGTGATTATTAATGGCTATTAATCCATGATTAATTCCTATTTAAATACTGGTAAGGATCATTAATGCATTATTAACACCTAACATGGCTATTAATAAACCATCAACTCCTATAAAGTGACTAATAAAGCTATTAATTCATCATTAATCCCTATTAAATGATTATTAATTGCCATTAATCCATCATTAATCGCTATTAAATGATTATTAATGGCTATTAATCCATCATTAATCCCTATTAAATCACTATTAATGGCCATTAATCCATCATTAATCCCTATTAAATGACCATTAACAGCTATTAATCCACTATTAATAGCTATTAATCATCATTAACCTCTATTAAATGATTATTAGGAGCTATTAACCCATCATTAATCCCTATTAAACGATTATAAATGTCTATCAATCCATTAGTAGATCCTATTAAATTTCTATCACAATTATTAATCCACCACTAGTTCCTATTAAATGGTTATTAATAGCTATTAATCCATCATTAATCCCTATTAAATGGTTATTAATAGCTATTAATTCATCATTAATCCCTATTAAATGCTTATCAATGGCTATTAATCCATCATTAATCCCTGTTAAATTATTATTAATAGCTATTAATCCATCACCAATTCCTATTAAATCACTATTAATGGCCACTAATCTGTTATTAATCCCTATTAAATGATCATTAATAGCTATTAATCCACTATTAATAGCTACTAATCCATGATTAATTTCTATTAAGTGATTATAAGGAGCTATTAATCCATCATTAATTCCTATTAAATGATTATAAAAGACTATTAACCCATTAGTAGATCCTATTAAATTTCTATCACAGTTATTAATCCACCATTATTTCCTATTAAATGATTATTAACGGCCATTAATCCATCATTAATCCCTATTAAACGTTTACTAATGGCTATTAATCCATTATTAATCCCTATTAAGTGGTTATTAATAGCTATTAATCCATCGTTAATCCCTATTAAACGACCATTAATAGCTAGTAATCCATCACCAATCCCTATTAAATCACTATTAATGGCCATTGATCCATTATTAATCCCTATTAAATGATTATTGATGGCTATTAATCCATCACCAATTCCTATTAAATGATTATTAATGGCTATTAATCCATCATTAATCCCTATTAAATGATTATTAATAGCTATTAATCCACTATTAAAAGCTACTAATCCATGATTAATCCCTATTAAATGATCATTAACAGCTATTAACCCACTATTAGTAGCTATTAGTCATCATTCCTCTCTATTAAATGATTATTAGGAGCTATTAATCCACCATTAACTCCTATTAAACGACAATTTACCACCACTAAACCACCCCTAACGACTCTTAATTTAATTTAATAAATTAATTAGGGTCTGACCTGTGCCTTGAGTGCGAGCACCTGCTCGGCCAGCTCGTCCTTCTCCTCCCGGAGCAGTTTGTGGGTCTGGTTGGCCTTGATGCCAACACTTTCTATTAATTGCCCATTAATGACCACTAACCTGCTATTATTGACCCACCGTATCTATTAATACATCATTACTCCTAATAAATCACTATTAATGGACACTGATCCATTATTAATCCCTATTAAACGATTATTAATAGCTATTAATTTACTATTAATAGCTATTAGTCATCATTCCTCTCTATTAAATGATCATTAGGAGCTACTAATCCATCATTAATCCCTATTAAACGACCATTAATAGCTATTAATCCATCATTAATCCCTATTAAATGATTATTAACAACTATTAATCCACTATTAATAGCTATTAACCACCATTAACCTCTATTAAATGATTATTAGGAGCTATTAATCCACCATTAACTCCTATTAAACGACAATTTACCACCACTAAACCACCCCTGACAACCTTTAATTTAATTTAATAAATTAATTAAGGCCTGACCTGTGCCTTGAGTGCGAGCACCTGCTCGGCCAGCTCGTCCTTCTCCTCCCGGAGCAGTTTGTGGGTCTGGTTATTAACCTCTACTAAGTGATTATTAGGAGCTATTAATCCATCATTAATCCCTATTAAATGGTTATTAATGGCTATTAATCCATCATTAATCCCTATTAAATCACTATTAATGGCCATTAATCCATCACCAATTCCTATTAAATCACTATTAATGACTCTTAATCCATTATTAATCCCTATTAAATTGTTATTAATGGCTATTAATCCATCATTAATCCCTATTAAACGATTATTAATGGCTATTAATCTATCATTAACTCCTATTAAATCACTATTAATGGCTATTAATCCATTATTAATCCCTATTAAACAACCATTAACAGCTATTAATCCATCATTAATCCCTATTAAATGGTTATTAATGGCTATTAATCCACTATTAATAGCTATTAACCGCCATTAACCTCTATTAAGCGATTATTAGGAGCTATTAATCCATCATTGATTCCTATTAAATGATCATTAACAGCTATTAATCCATCATTAACTCCTATTAAACGACAATTTACCACCACTAAACCACCCCAAACCCCCTCTAATTTAATTTAATAAATTAATTAAGGCCTGACCTGTGCCTTGAGTGCGAGCACCTGCTCGGCCAGCTCGTCCTTCTCCTCCCGGAGCAGTTTGTGGATCTGCTTGGCCTTGATGCCAACACTTTCTATTAATTGCCTATCAATAACCCTTAACCTGCTATATTAACCTACCGTATCTATTAATACATCATTACTCCTAATAAATCAATATTAATGGTCACTAATCTATTATTAATCCCTATTAAACGATCATTAATAGCTATTAATCCACTATTAATAGCTATTAATCATCATTCCTCTCTGTTAAATGATTATTAGGAGCTATTAATCCATCATTAACTCCTATTAAATGATTATTAACGGCCATTAATCCATCATTAATCCCTATTAAACGTTTACTAATGGCTATTAATCCATTATTAATCCCTATTAAGTGGTTATTAATAGCTATTAATCCATCGTTAATCCCTATTAAACGACCATTAATAGCTAGTAATCCATCACCAATTCCTATTAAATCACTATTAATGGCCATTAATCCATTATTAATCCCTATTAAATGATTATCTATGGCTATTAATCCATCATTAATCCCTATTAAACGGTTATTAATGGCTATTAATCCATCACCAATTCCTATTAAATCACTATTAATGGCTATTAATCCAATATTAATCCCTATTAAATCACTATTAATGGCCATTGATCCATCATTAATCCCTATTAAATCACTATTAGTGACTCTTAATCCATTATTAATCCCTATTAAATTGTTATTAATAGCTATTAATCCATCATTAATCCCTATTAAACTATCATTAACAGCTATTAATGCACTATTAATAGCTATTAATCATCATTAACCTCTATTATATGATCATTAATAGCTATTAATCCATCATTGATTCCTAATAAACGATCATTATTAGCTATTAATCCACCATTAACACCCATTAAACACCAATTTACGCCCTCTAAACCACCCCAAACCCCCTGTAATTTAATTTAATAAATTAATTAAGGCCTGACCTGTGCCTTGAGTGCGAGCACCTGCTCGGCCAGCTCATCCTTCTCCTCCCGGAGCAGTTTGTGGATCTGGTTATTAACCTCTATTAAGTGATTATTAGGAGCTATTAATCCATCATTAACTCCTATTAAATGATTATTAACGGCTATTAATCCATCATTAATCCCTATTAAATGGTTACCAATAGCTATTAATCCATCATTAATCGCCATTAAATGTTTATTAATGGCTATTAATCCATCATTAATCCCTATTAAATGATCATTAGCAGCTATTAATCCATCATTAATCCCTATTAAATCACTATTAATGGCTATTAATCCACCATTAACACCCATTTACCACCCCTAACGACTCTAAACTTGACATAATTATTTAATTAGAGTCCAACCTGTGCCTTGAGTGCGAGCACCTGCTCGGCCAGCTCGTCCTTCTCCTCCCGGAGCAGTTTGTGGATCTGGTTATTAACCTCTATTAAGTGACTATTAGGAGCTATTAATCCATTATTAATCCCTATTAAATGATTATTAATGGCTATTAATCCACCATTAACACCAATTTACGCCCTCTAAACCCTTCCTAACCCCCTCTAATTAAACATAATAAATTAATTAGGGTCTGACCTGTGCCTTGAGTGCGAGCACCTGCTCGGCCAGCTCGTCCTTCTCCTCGCGGAGCAGTTTGTGGATCTGGTTGGCCTTGATGCGCTCCGACATCAGCTTGAAGTTGGCGTCGTCCTTCTCGCGCAGCTGCTGCAGCAGCCGCAGGTTCTGCTCCTGCATGTCCTCGAACGCCTGCCCCGTCACGTCCATCTCCGACAGCAGCGCCTCCTCCTCCTGCACGGGGACGGGAAGGGTCATTTGCATAGATTCCTCTTCCAAATTAGCATGTCATTTGCATAAATTAGCCGCCTCCTCCTGTGGTGGAAGGGGAAGGGTCACAAGATGGCTGCCAGGAGGGGGCGGGGTCATGGGTGGGACAAGATGGCTGCCATGGGGTCAGGGGTGTGGCCATGGGGACAAAATGGCTGCCAGGAAGGGGTGGGGTCATGGATGGAACCAAGATGGCTGCCAGGAAGGGGGTGGAGTCATGGGTGGGACAAGATGGCTGCCAGGGAGGGGTGGGGTCATGGATGGGACAAGATGGCTGCCAGGAGGGGGCAGGGTCATGGACAGAGACAAGATGGCTGCCAGGAAGGGGTGGGGTCATGGATGGAACCAAGATGGCTGCCAAGAACAAAATGGCTGCCATGGGGTCATGGGTGGGACAAGATGGCTGCCAGGAAGGGGTGGGGTCATGGATGGAACCAAGATGGCTGCCAAGAACAAAATGGCTGCCATGGGGTCATGGGTGGGACAAGATGGCTGCCAGGAGGGGGCGGGGTCATGGATGGGACAAGATGGCTGCCATGGGGTCAGGGGTGTGGCCATGGGGACAAAATGGCTGCCAGGAAGGGGTGGGGTCATGGATGGGACAAGATGGCTGCCAAGAACAAAATGGCTGCCATGGCGTCATGGGTGGGACAAGATGGCTGCCAGGAGGGGGTGGGGTCATGGATGGGACAAGATGGCTGCCAAGAACAAAATGGCTGCCATGGGGTCATGGATGGGACAAGATGGCTGCCAGGAGGGGGGGATGTCATGGATGGGACAAGATGGCTGCCATGGGGTCAGGGGTGTGGCCATGGGGACAAAATGGCTGCCAGGAAGCAGTGGGGTCATGGACAGAGACAAGATGGCTGCCAGGAGGGGGCGGGGTCACGGATGGGACAAGATGGCTGCCGGGGGTGGTGATTGATATATGCAAATGAGATGGTAATTAGGGGGTGGGATGGGTCTGGGGGATTCGGGGTGATTGATTTATGCAAATGAGATAGATTGATGCAAATGAGGTCGTGATGAAGGGGTGAGAAGGGGCCTGAGGGAGGGTTCTGGGGGTGATTGATTTATGCAAATGAGATGGTAATGAGGGGGTAGGAGGGGCATTGGGGAGGGTTAAGGGGGTGTGATTCATATATGCAAATGAGATGGTAATGAGGGGGTGGGAGGGACGGTGGGAGTCTTGGAGAGGGTTCTGGGGTGATTAATTTATGCAAATGAGAACCAAGAAAAACCAAGAGGGGAACTGGAGAAGTTTCTGGCTTTATGCAAATGAGATGGTAATTAGGAAGGAGGAGGGTGATCAAGTAATTTATGCAAATGAGATATTGAGGAATCCTACCCCCCAAAATCCCCCCAATTCACCCCAAAAACCCCCTCAAACCCCCTCCCACTCCCCTCATTTGCATAGATTCATTAACCTTCCAAAAGTCCTCTTCCTAATTAACATCTCATTTGCATAAATCACAACAATCCTCCCTGAATTCTCCCCCCAAAAGTCTCTTAAATCCCCTTTTCCACCTCCAAACCCCCCCAAATTCATCCTAAAACCCCCTCAAAACCACTCCCACTCCCCTCATTACCATCTCATTTGCATACATTCATTAGCCTTCCCAAATTCCTCTTCCTAATTAGCATCTCGTTTGCATAAATCACTCATCAACCCCCCAAAAAAACCCTCTTTAATCCCCTTTTCCACCCCCAAATCCCCCCAATTCACCCCAAAACTCCCCCTCCCTTCCCCCTCTCCCTTCATCAACTCCTAATTAACCCCAATTAATGACCTGTTGATGAATGGTTAATTAATGACCTGTTTGGTGGCCGCCAAACCCTCCCCCTCCAACCCCTCTTACCCCCCAAAATCCCCTCAATCTCATTTATGCAAATGAGATGGATTTATGCAAATGAGATGGATTTATGCAAATGAGATGGATTTATGCAAATGAGATGGATTTAGGCAAATGAGATGGATTTATGCAAATGAGATGGAGAAAACCAAGAGGGGAGTTGGGGAAGTGTCTGACTTTATGCAAATGAGATGGTAATGAGGGGGTGGGAATGAGGGGTTGGGAGGGGCTCTAGGGGAGGGTTCTGGGGGGATTGATTTATGCAAATGAGATGGGTTTATGCAAATGAGATGGTAATGAGGGGGTTGGGAGGGAGTCTTGGGGAGGGTTCTGGGGTTGTGATCGATTTATGCAAATGAGGTGCTAATGAGGGGGTGGGAGGGTCTTGGGGAGGGTTCTGGGGGATTGATTTATGCAAATGAGATGGTAATGAGGGGGTTGGGAGGGAGTCTTGGGGAGGGTTCTGGGGGAATTTGAAGTATTTGATTTATGCAAATGAGATGGTAATGAGGGGGTGGGAGGGAGTCTTGGGGAGGGTTCTGGGGGGATTTGAGGCAATTGATTTATGCAAATAAGATGGTAATGAGGAGAGGGGGGAGGGGGTCTAGGAGAGGGTTCTGGGGGGATTGATTTATGCAAATGAGATGGGTTTATGCAAATGAGACGGAGAAAACCAAGATGGAGAAAACCAAGAGGGTTTAGAGGGGGTGTGATCGATATATGCAAATGAGATGGTAATGAGGGAGCGGGAGGGGCTCTGTGGAGGATTATGGGGGATTGATTTATGCAAATGGAGATGGTAATGAGGGGTTGGGAGGGAGTCTTGGGGAGGGTTCTGGGGGATCGATTTATGCAAATGATGTGGTAATGAGGTGGTGGGAGGGGCCTTGGGGAGGGTTCTGGGGTTGTGATCGATTTATGCAAATGAGATGGTAATTAGGGGGCGGGAGGGGCCTTGGGGAGGGTTCTGGGTGATTGATTTATGCAAATGAGATGGTAATGAGGTGGTGGGAGGGAGTCTTCATGGGATGTGGCCAATATATGCAAATGAGATGGTAATGAGGGAGTGTGAGGTGGGAGGGGTCTTGGGGAGGGTTCAGGGGGGTGATTGATTTATGCAAATGAGATAGATTTATGCAAATGAGATGGATTTAGGCAAATGAGATGGATTTAGGATCAAATGAGATGGATTTAGGCGAATGAGATGGAGAAAACCAAAGGGAGTTGGGAAGTGTCTGACTTTATGCAAATAAGATGGTAATGAAGGGGGTGGGAGGGGCATTGGGGAGGGTTTGGGGGTTGATCAATATATGCAAATGAGGTGCTAATGAGGGGGTGGGAGGGGTCTGGGGGAGGGTTCTGGGGGGATTCGGGGTGATTGATTTATGCAAATGAGGTGGTAATGAGGGGTGGGAGGGGCATTGGGGGAGGGTTCTGGGAGTTGTGATCAATATGTGATATGATATCATTTGCATTCCTCTTCCTAATTAGCATCTCCTCCTGGGCAGGGGGAAACATGGGGGTGGGGTCACAAGAGTGGGTGTGATCGATTTATGCAAATGAGATGGATTTATGCAAATGAGACAGAGAAAACCAAGAGGGAGTTGGGGAAGTGTCTGACTTTATGCAAATGAGATGGTAATGAGGGAGTGGGAATGAGGGGTTGGGAGGGGCCTTGGGGAGGGTTCTGGGGTGATTGATTTATGCAAATGAGATGGGTTTATGCAAATGAGATGGAGAAAACCAAGATGGAGAAAACCAAGAGGGTGTAGGGGGGGTGTGATCAATATATGCAAATGAGATGGTAATGAGAGGGTGGGAGTGGCCTTGGGGAAGGTTAAGGGGTGTGATCGATATATGCAAATGAGATGGTAATGAGGAGTGGGAGGGAGTCTAGGGGAGGGTTCTGGGGGATCGATTTATGCAAATGAGATGGTAATGAGGGGGTGGGAGGGAGTCTTGGGGAGGGTTCTGGGGGAACTTGAGGCAAATTGATTTATGCAAATAAGATGGTAATGAGGAGAGGGGGTCTGGGGGTATTGATTTATGCAAATGAGATGTTAATGAGGAGAGCAGAGGGGTTCTAGGGGAGGGTTCTGGGGATTGATTTATGCAAATGAGATGTTAATGAGGAGAGCAGAGGGGCTCTAGGGGAGGGTTCTGGGGGATTGATTTATGCAAATGAGATGGTAATGAGGGGGTTGGGAGGGAGTCTTGGGGAGGGTTCTGGGGGATTGATTTATGCAAATAAGATGGTAATGAGGAGAGGGGGGAGGGGCTCTGGGGGTATTGATTTATGCAAATGAGATGGATTTATGCAAATGAGCTGGAGAAAACCCCTAATTAACCCCTGGCTGTTAATTAAGGACCTGTTTGGTGGCCGCCAATCGACGCTGGAGGTGCTCGATCTGCTCCTCGCTGTGCCGGAGCCTCCTCAGGGCCTCCTCATCAGCCAATTTCTTGCTCTCCCGGCGCTCCCGCTCCTCCAGCTCCCGCCAGCGGGCCCTCAGTTCCTCTAACTGATTAATTAACACCTTAATTAGCCCTTATTAGCATTTATTAGGGGTTATTAGGTGGTTATTAGGGGTTATTAGGAGGAATTAGGGTCTCTTTGTTGACCAACTTGTTGCTCTCCCGGCGCTCCCGCTCCTCCAGCTCCCGCCAGCGGGCCCTCAGCTCCTCTAACTAATTAATTAACACCTTAATTAGCCTTAATTAGTGTTAATTCACATTAATTAGCCTTAATTTGGGAGTTATTAGCCCTAATTTTGAGGTTATTAGGGAGTTATTGGGGTCTCTTCATCCACCAATTTCTTACTCTCCCGACGCTCCCGCTCCTCCAGCTCCCGCCAGCGGGCTCTCAGCTCCTCCAGCTGATTAATTAACACCTTAATTAGCCTTTATTAGTGTTTATTAGGGGTTATTAGCTTTAATTAGGGAGTTATTAGAGGTTATTAGGGAGTTATAACTTCTTGCTCTCCCGGCGCTCCCGCTCCTCCAGCTCCCGCCAGCGGGCTCTCAGCTCCTCTAACTAATTAATTAACACCTTAATTAACCTTTATTAGCCTTAATTAGGGGTTATTAGCCCTAATTTTGAGGTTATTAGGGAGTTATAGAGGCCTCTTCATCCCCCAACTTGTTGCTCTCCCGACGCTCCCGCTCCTCCAGCTCCCGCCAGCGGGCCCTCAGCTCCTCCAGCTAATTAATTAACACCTTAATTAGCCTTTATTAGCATTTATTAGGGGTTATTAGGTGGTTATTAGGGGTTATTAGGAGGAATTAGGGTCTCTTTGTTGACCAACTTGTTGCTCTCCCGGCGCTCCTGCTCCTCCAGCTCCCGCCAGCGGGCCCTCAGCTCCTCTAACTAATTAAGTAAATCCTTAATTAGCCTTAATTAGCATTTATTAGGTGGTTATTAGGGGTTATTAGGGAGTTATAGGGCCTCTTCATCAACCAAGTTCTTGCTCTCCCGGTGTTCCCACTCCTCCAGCTCCCACCAGTGGGCCCTCAGCTCCTCTAACTAATTAATTAACATCCTTAATTAGCCTTAATTAGTGTTAATTCACATTAATTAGCCTTAATTTGGGAGTTATTAGCCCTAATTTTGAGGTTATTAGGGAGTTATCGGGGTCTTTTCATCCCCCAACTTGTTGCTCTCCCGGCGCTCCCGCTCCTCCAGCTCCCGCCAGCGGGCCCTCAGCTCCTCTAACTGATTAATTAACACCTTAATTAGCCTTAATTAGCGTTTATTAGGGGTTATTAGCCCTAATTTTGAGGTTATTAGGGAGTTATTGGGGTCTTTTCATCCCCCAACTTGTTGCTCTCCCGATGCTCCCGCTCCTCCACCTCCCGCCAGCGGGCCCTCAGCTCCTCCAACTAATTAATTAACACCTTAATTAGCCTTAATTAGTGTTTATTAGGAGTTATTAGCCCTAATTTTGAGGTTATTAGGGAGTTATAGAGGCCTCTTCATCAGCCAAGTTTTTGCTCTCCCGGTGCTCCCGCTCCTCCAGCTCCCGCCAGCGGGCCCTCAGCTCCTCTAACTAATTAATTAACACCTTAATTAGCCTTAATTAGCATTTATTAGGTGGTTATTAGGAGTTATTAGGAGGAATTAGGGCCTTTTCATCCCCCAACTTTTTGCTCTCTTGACGCTCCCGCTCCTAAAACTGCCCCTAGTTGGCCCTCAGCTCCTCTAACTAATTAATTAACACCTTAATTAGCCTTAATTAGTGTTAATTCACATTAATTAGCCTTAATTTGGGAGTTATTAGCCCTAATTTCGAGGTTATTAGGGAGTTATTGGGGCCTTTTCATCCCCCAACTTTTTGCTCTCTTGACGCTCCCGCTCCTAAAACTGCCCCTAGTTGGCCCTCAGCTCCTCTAACTAATTAATTAACACCTTAATTAGCCTTAATTAGCCTTTAATTAGGACTTATTAGCCCTAATTTCGAGGTTATTAGGGAGTTATTGGGGTCTTTTCATCCCCCAACTTGTTGCTCTCCCGACGCTCCCGCTCCTCCAGCTCCTCCAA